ACGGGCTCCTCGGGCCCTCCAGCTGACGTGGCGTGAGGCTGGCTGGGTTCTCCCGAACCTCCAGCAGACGAGACGTGAAGCTGGCTGGGTTCTCCTGAACCTCCAGCAGACGAAACATGAAGCTGGCTGGGTTCTCCTGAACCTCCAGCAGACGAAACATGAAGCTGGCTGGGTTCTCCTGAACCTCCAGCAGACGAAACATGAAGCTGGCTGGGTTCTCCTGAACCTCCAGCAGACACATGAAGCTGGCTGGGTTCTCCTGAACCTCCAGCAGACGAAGCATGAGGCTGGCTGGGTTCTCCTGAACCTCCAGCAGACGAAGCATGAGGCTGGACGGGCTCCCCGGGCCCTCCGGCTGACACTGAAATTGGCTGCACCAGCTGTACCTCCGTCTCCGGCTCCAAACCGGCCTGGATAGCCGTCCCACAGCAGCTTAGCTGAGCCTGAGGGCTAGCATTTCCAGGGCAAACAGTCTCTTTGTAGCCGGGCTCATTAATTGGAAAAGTAGTGTCAAAATCAACAACCTCCTGAGAGAAAACATGAGGAGCCAAAATTAATCACTCCCTTGCGTTCGTGATGCGGAGCGTCGGTGGCGCGCGCGCCGTTTCTTCTTGGAAGTGGAAGACGGCGGAGCGATGGGTGGAAGTCCCTGGTAACTCCGAGGTCCCCCGAGAGCCAGTCGAGTTCCCCGGAAAGAGTGCTCGTGCTCCGGAATGAGCCACGGCTTCCACCGGAGCTCCTCCTCCAAGAGAGCGCAGAATATAGACTGGCGCTCGTCGTCGTCCAAGTCTATGGTGTGCGGCGCTTCCTCGCGCTGAACTGTGACAGGAGTATGGCGAGACTGTGATGAGGGCGTGGAAACTGGTGAGCTGAGAGGTGGTGACGCTGCGGCGAATCTCAGCGAACCGACACGAACACACTCAGGTTCCGGAGGCAGCAATGGAGATGACTGATTGTGGGGTTGTTGTGACTGGTGGGTGCTGGAAGCCATTTCCTGACTCGACAGTTCCTGGGCCTGCAGCATCTCCTTTATCCTCGGTAAAGGCAGCAACTATGGCAGGTGAGTCCGGGAGCTGGAGAAGGCGGGGATCCCTCTCCATAATAGCTTCAGCAACGTTAACCATCACCAGCTTGCTCTTCAAATCGGGCGCTGTAAAGATGCGGTCGAGGATCGCTTGGATACGAGCCGTCTCCTCCAGACACTCGACGAGAGCTGCATCCGCTGGGTCCATACTGTCGGTTCGTTCTGTCACGGCGGGGTGCGCCGTGTGTGTGGAAACAGGACCCAAAAGCAGATGACGATGAGGAGTAGTAAGGTTTAACAGAAAGGTGAGGCTTTATTTAAATGACGGCAGGGTTAAACCAGGAAACCAAAACAAACTGGCAAAACACTAAGAAACAAAACACTAAAGGTACTAAGACCAAAAACTATAACTATAACTGAGGTGGAAAATAACAGGCAAAGACTAAGACTATAACTGTAACTCTGGTGAGATAAACAGACTAAGACTAACGTGGAATTAACAGACGAAAACTAGAACTATGGCTGAGGTAAACAGACGAACCGACAATGGCATGAAGAAAACAAAAGGCTTAAATACAGACATGAGGTGATCAGGGGAAGTGGGGACACATGGGGGAAACAGCTGACAGACATAAACCTAATGACAGGACCAGGAGAGGAAAGCTAAATACAATGAACAAAGAACACATGACATTGTCAAAATAAAACAGGAAATACTAAAACTAAACGTGACAACACAACTTAACAGACCTAATACATGATGAATAAATACAAAACCCCAAAACATAGAAAACCCAGGAACAATAACTGCCTAAACTAAAGGCAGATAGGAAATAACACAAACTAAATCACATAACAAAATGAGACAAATACAAACATGAACTCAGAGCGCTGGGTCAGAGACCCAGCCTGTGACAGATACTGATTATTTAATATTCATCACATTAGGTAAGTTCTGGTTATTGGTTATGATTTCTAGTGTTTAGGTGTTTCTGTGGCTCTTGTCATCCTTGTCTCTATGTTCATGTATTTGATGTTTGACTTTGATAGTCTCGTGTCCTGTGTTCAGTGTTTTGAGTATTGCTCCTGTTTGCTCCGTCCTCGCGTCCCTCTGTGTGTATTTATAATGTGTGCTTCTCCCTGTTCCTCATCGGACCGTCTGTGTGCCTTCCTCCGTGTTGCCCCTGTGTTTCCTCCATCAGCTTTCCTTGCGTTTCCTGGTACCTTGTCCCTTGCTTCGGGTCTCTATCCTCAGGTTATGTGTTTATGCTTATTTTCCCTGCCCAGGTTTTAGTTAGTTTCCTCAGTTCCTCCTGTTTGTAGTTTTTGTACAGCTGGCAATAAAAGCTTGTTTTTTGTTATCATCCACCCTCATCTCCGTGTGCCTGCATTTGGGCCCTCAATCTCCTCCTGCCATGCCATGTGCCTCACCAGACCTGACATAAATGGCAGGTATCTGAGATATTTCAGAGCATCCTGTTAGTTTCTTTAAAATAACTGGAGGCTTTTGTTTTGGAAATAAAATTAAATTGAGATTTTCCTATACCGGCTTGTACAATTTCAGAAACAAAACTCCCCATTCTTAAAGCATACTGATTTCATAGTTTCATCTCTTGTTTATTGGCCACATTTGTTTGTGTGTGTAGGTAAAAAAGTAAGACAGGAGGCCTTTTGAAATTTAACTGACATTTTACTTTCAACCCTAATTCAAAATAAATTTTGGGACAGTGTGTAAAATTTAAGAAAAAAACAAAATGCAATGATGTGGAACAACAATGACATCAAGAGGAAAGAAAATATGCCAGATGTGCAAACACTATTATACAGAGAATAAAAGGCATAAGACAGCATGTCACCTTAAATCTCACAGCTTATTCAATTTTGCTGTGCAAAAAAAGCCACTGTGATTACTAAAGATGGGAGTTAAGAGCTGTTTGTTCACCTTACAGACATATTATCGACTCACAAGAATAGCTGGCATGGTCCTAGTCATCAGCCCAGCCCTTTGCATTAGCCAACACTTTCTGAAACAGGAGGACTTTTCGCTGCAGTTCCAACATGAAGGGAGCGTTCTTTAAAAGCTTTTCAGGTGTGTCTTTATCTTCTTGCTGCAGAATCGTCTGTGCCTTCTGAAACATTTCATCAGTGTAGTGTGATCCTCCATTTGCTGCCACCATGTCATCAATCTTCTTGATCAGCTCAACCACCTGAGTTCTCTTCTTATTCATGTTGTTGAAAACATGGTATCTATTACCACATCGATTCAGCAACTCTTTGAGTTTAGGATGGCTGTTTCTTGTCAAATACTCATGTATGGTTGTTTTCTTGTGAGTCAGGTCATCACCATGAGTAAACAGAATCATCATGTAGTTTGATGCCTCAGGTCCAAAGAGTTGCTCCAGGGCTTGCACACAGTTGTTTTCTTCTTTGGTAAACCGGCCAATCTGAAGGACCATCAGGAAAACATGAGGGCCTGGAGAGCTCATCTGAATGGATTTTGCAATTTCTTTCTTTATGTCATCTGCACGTTTAGATGTATCCAGAAAGCCAGGGGTATCGACCACATGGATCACTCTCTTGCAGTGTTTAACTCGTTCTCTTGCACAGGTCGCCGTCACCGACTCTAAACTCACTTCAGACTCAAAAAGCTCTTTTCCCACAATCGTGTTGGCAGCAGCACTTTTCCCAACACCCGTTTTCCCAATCATCACAATCCTCAGAGGATCACCTGCAGAAAGAAAAAAATGTTTAGTTAGAAACCCAAATTTAGTTGAAAATCTCATTTAAAGCATCTTTTTTACCTTTAGGGATTGAGTCGCTGTTGCCCATCTCTAGTGCGTTTGGAGAATGAAATTGAAGCAGCACTCCACAGTTTTAGTGTGCACTCCGCCCAGAGGGTGGAGCTAATTCTCAGCCTATATCAGCATGAGTCTGACCTATTTCAAAGCAAGTTCAGAGACGCTGCTGAAACCCACAGCACTCTTCATTAAACATTTGCCAAGATGAATTCTCCTGAGCCTTCTCGTAAGTGACAGTTATTTAGTTTTATTGCTTCTTGTCAAAGTTCATCACATTTATGAATCATTTGCTGATGTAATAATGTGATAATGAATTTCTGACCTCGAGATACCCGTATTGGGACCAAGTATCACGTGTTTATTTGAAAATAACATAAAACACAAACAGATTTAACCTCCTGCATTTTTGGAGCATCAGTATTCATCATTTGTCCCAGAGGAGGACAAGCTGAGGACTAGCCCTTTAACCCTGGTCTGGGCCTGCGCCAGGGATTGGCAGATGCAAGTAGACTTGGATCAGAGGCTAATTTATTAATCCTCGGGTGGTTCCTCTGGGAATTCGATTCCAAAAAAGACAGCCGACATAAGTTACGAGTTACAGAATATTATATATATATGTATATATTATTATATATATATATATATATATATATATATATATATATATATATATATACTATATATATATATATATATATATATACATACACACACACACACACATATATATATAAATACAGAGACAATATAAATAAAATATACGAAGGGGATAAATAGAATAAATAGGAATAAAAATACAAGTGAATTGCACATTTCAAGTATTTAGTCTATTGCACCATTGACTATTTACAAAGATGCAAGTGGACTTGGATCAGAGGCTAATTTTTCCCACAGAGATAATAAGAACTACTCTGCGATCAGACCTTGTCCTCTGGTCTAAATCCCAAAAACTTGCGTACGTCATTAAGCTGACGGTACCATGGGAGGAAGCAACTGAGGAAGCATTTGAGCTTAAGAGGCTGCGGTATGCCAACTTGGCAGCTGGGGCAGAGGACAGAGGCTGGAAGATCAAGGTGTGGAAGTGGGGTGCAGGGGCTTTGTAGCCAGTACGACAGCAAAACTGCTTAGAGAGATTGGGATCGGAGGACAGGCACAACGGTAGTCTATAAGAGAATTGGCTAACACTGCTGAGAGGAGCAGTTGTCCCTGATTCTCCAGCCAAGGCTTTTCTCTAGCTTCTCTAATATGTTTCTCTCACCATCTGTGAACCTGCCCAGCTGCATCACAAGTAACGTCACACAATGCCCTTCCTGACAGTACCTCTTACACTCTTCTACCTGTGCCTGGTTTACATGTTCCTCTTCATAAAAAAAGTCTGGGGTGTCAACTACTCTAACTGGTATCCCAAATATCTCCACTATTTTCACCTCACACCTGGTGGTGACTGGTGTGGAGCTGGGATAAGACTGAAAATGTTGGTTTGAACCACCAATGAGCTTCCCAGCAGTCAGGATGGTGTTTGCAGATGCACTCTTTCCAGTTCCGCTTTTCCCGAGAAGAACCATGTTATAGAGACCTTCCCTTGAACCATAGACACCTGGAAGATGTGGTCAGACAAAACATTTAGTTATTTTAGCAGCAGGTCCTTGCAGTTGCTAGAGTCAGACATTAAGACTGCCTGTTTTGGGGTTTTTTTTAACCTCGAAATTTATAAAGGAGTACTTCAAATATTATTTAAATACTTTAATAATTTACTTTCCTGTCAAAGTTACATGTGTTGTGGTTTTTTGAAGCATACCATCATGTTGTCCGGGTGCTCTTTTTGCAGGCAGGGAAATCTGCTGTGAGCTGGCACCTAAAAAGGGCATATCATATACTCATATACTGTGATTTTGTAATTTTGTAACAATACAGTCAGAAAAAAGCAAATGCTGTACTGAGCAACTATGTTAGTGATAGCTTTTGAGAGCATCTGTTTAATTTATAAATGTTGAGTCTGCGATGAGTGCAGTGTGTGTGATGAATCTCTTTTCAGTAGGTAACTTGACTGTCGTTATATTACTTTCTAACAGCATGGTCGTCAAGCATCAGTGTTACTTGGCAGTTTTTTGTCCTACAACAAGTTACACTTCGGCATGAAATCTGTATTTTTCTGTGATTTTCACTTATAGTTAATTTCCATACCATCAGAAACTGATACCAGAATCTCTGTCTTATTTTATCAACATCATGACACCCCAAAGTCACTTTAAAGATGTTCTCATAATGCGAGTGGTTGCAGTTCTGCTTCCCATCTATCAAGCAACTGTTCAAAAGGCAGCGAGAATGCAAGTTCATTGCAGTCTGTATGGCTGCAATAATGTTGGTCACATCATGATTTTCAGTCAGAGTTCCCACTATTCATAATCAGATCATTATGCATTTGGTTAATATTCTCAAATTTAAACAAATACTTTCATTTTAACTTAGTGTTTGAACTGATATGTGTGTGTTTATCAGAAAATTATTTTTCATTTTAAACTCTGGTCTGAAATTTAATTTAAGATGCTGATGAAAATATTTCATTTATTGCCATAATTTATTACATAATTTAATACATGACATAAAGCCAAAAGATCAGTTTCCTAACATAGGTGGATTTAAGAAACTCACCTGTACTCCGAGGATATTGCTGAGCATGCCATGAGTGTCTGAAACATTAATGTGGTCATTAAATATCAACAGAGAAGGAAATGATAAAATATCACAACAATAGCTGTGGCAGGAGTTTTCTGCACTCTCTTGGTCCCAGCTTGTTTTTTTTTCTTTAATAAATCTTCTGAAATGGATGCTTATGCTTGTAATTGAGATTTATCTTTTTTTGAAAGACAAAACATAATTCACTTTAGTTTTGCTTTGAAAAATCCATTTGAATATATCACAAAGGACTGAATTCTGTCATTACCTGTGTTTCACTTTGGTTTGCATTCCTGTCTCTGTAGAAGCAGACCTGCCAGTGTTTCTCTGATAAGTCTCACCTGTATAATCACACTTTCTCCTGATAAAACAGATTTGGAAAAAAATGAACTGCATTCTTCAATGAGTTAATTAAGTAATTAATGAATTAGGCTTCATGTTCATTTTATTTTACAGGATGAAGTTTGGACTTGTTAAATTATGAAGGAGAGATTAAACATGTGCTAAATGTCAGAAATACTACTGTAACTTGTGAGGATTAAACACATTTAGTTAATTATTGTGATCTATGTATTATTCAGAATATAGAACTTTTTGTAGTATTTGAACAATGTGGAATTTCACCATTGATAGAGACAATAGAGAAATACAAACTAGTTGTTAATAAAATATGTCTCAGAGGGAGACAATTCTTACCTCGTGCGTATCAGGTGATCTTTCCTTCGTTTCACAGTGTGTTGGGGGTAGTTATTGTAGTCAAACTGAAATGGCCGTTGGTGTGAACACCACTCCTTACATTGGAAAGCAAGATTTTCATTCATAGTTGCCATCTGGATATTGTACATTTCCTTAATGCGACCTTGTAAATTCTCTCGACTCTCTTCCAACACAATGACTATGTTTTCTGTGACATTTTCTCCAAACACACGTTGAAGGTGAGAGATTTGAGTCACAACTTTTTCCACTTGTGTGTTTTTTGAATCTATTACCAATATGAACAGACAAGGTCCAGGATCAGAAAGAGCCATGAAATCAATGATCAGCTGATCTGGGAAATCATATTGCTCATCAAAGAAATCACAAGTACTGATGATTCTGTAGAGGTTGTTGTTATGCTCAACAAAATTGCCCAGTTTTGTGACAGAAGCATTGGGATCTCTAATGATTGTACTTCCAGTCCTGTTCACTGAGTCAGCACTCTTTCCGAGCAGAGCGATGGTAAACTTCCCAGGATAATCTTTAGGAAAGATAAACAAACTTAATTTTCCATAAAAATGTTGTACAAAACTTAAATCTGTCAATGTTCCTCCTTTATTCTACCTATGGGGTGTGATTCTTCTATAGTAGATTTATTTACACTTATTTTGGTTATTTATATTTATTTAAACATTTATTTTTAACCTCTTACTTAAAAAAACTAACAAAATGTCAGTAAACAGACAATATAATCACTTATCTGTATCTATGAATGACAAATATACTTCAAATTTTAAAAAAGGGGAAATTTGTGTCTCAGACATCACTAAAAGCTCAAGGTGTGACACACACACACACACACACACACACACACACACACACACACACACACACCAACACACACACGCACACACACACACACACACAGCTCAAACTATCTATCTATCTATCTATCTATCTATCTATCTATCTATCTATCTATCTATCTATCTATCTATCTATCTATCTATCTGTTGTCAGTATATAATATTGTAATAAAGCTGCACAGCAGTAACTTACGTGGAGGCTGTGCAGAGCTCATCTTGTTAAGGGCTTAATCATGAAGACTGCAGGTTTCGCTGGAGTCTCTGAACTACCTTTGAAACCGATCAGACTCTTGCTGATATAGGCTGAGAGATTAGATCTGCCCTGTGGGTGGAGTGCGGTCTTTGATCTCACACTAAAACAGTGGAGTTGCATTTCAGTTCATTCTCTATGAAGTCGCGAACAGACAGGAGATGGGCAACAGTGGGTCGATACCAGAAGGTGAAGTTGGAGCTTTAATTTGCTTCAGACTAAATTTAGGCTTTCAGCAGAACCGAATAACACAAAGAATTGATAGGGAGAGATCATTTTTGCATAATTTAACTTCATTTATTGTGTGATTAACTCCTTGGGGACTAAACTGATGTAGCTACAGTACATAGCAACATTAGTAGGAAGTAGGACAGAAGCCCCCCAAATTTACTCACTGGTGGTTGTGGAGATGAAGCAGGTGGAGGCTTAGTAGGCTCCGAGCAACCAGGATGACTTGGAGATGGAAAGGAGGTGGGTCATATGACAGTCTGAAAGGCAGAATGACAGAAGTGCACTGAGGTTTGTAGCACGGGGAACGAAGACTGATTTTCTCACACAGGTGAGCAAGAATCAGTGCGGGAAAGTGGAGGTGATGTAAAGAATAGACTAGATTTCAAGTCTCTATGAACACAGTCAGATTAGATACCAATGCTTCATCAGTTAACTTATGAATAGGCTCCAATTAAAATCTATTCATCCATGCAATAAGTATAACAAAAACGTTCTTTCTCCAGGTGACCCACTGAGGATTGTGATGATTGGGAAAACTGGTGTTGGGAAGAGTGCTGTTGGGAACACCATTATTGGAAAAGAGTTGTTTAAATCTGAAGTGAGTTCAGAGTCAGTGACAGAGACCTGTGCAAGAGAGCGAGTTAAATACTGCAAAAGAGATATCCATGTGGTCGATACCCCCGGCATTCTGGATACATTTAAAAAGGCAGATGACATAAAGAAGGAGATTGCGAAATGCATCCACATGGCCAGTCCTGGACCTCACGTCTTTCTGCTGGTCCTTCAGATTGGCAGGTTTACCCCAGAAGAAGAAAACTGTGTGGAAGCCCTGGAGAAACTCTTTGGACCTGAGGCATCGAACTACATGATTGTAGTCTTCACTCATGGTGACAAGCTGGCTGAGCAGAAGTCCATACAAGAGTATTTGACAGAAGGCCACCCTAAACTCAAAGAGGTAGTGAGCAGGTGTGGTAACAGGTATTATGTCTTCAACAACAAAGATAAGAACAGAGTTCAAGTGGTTCAGCTGATCAAGAAGATCGATGAGATGGTAGCAGCAAATGAAGGATCACACTACACCGATGAAATGTTTGAGAAGGCACGGGAGATTCTGCAACACGAGCGTGAAAAGACACCAGAAAAGCTGTTCAGCCACCGTGAGTTCATGGAAGAGCTGCGGCAAAAAACTCTCCAATTTCAGCAAAAGTTGGCTTTTTTAGAGGACTAGCTCGGTGATTCAGGACCATTTTGACCATCATTTAAAGTTGATTATCTGCCATATGATGAACTAATTAATGGTAATAATTTTTAGTTAATGACAGTTTAGAATCCATTGTTATAGTTTCTAGATTTAGTGAAATGATTCTGGTGCTGATCATTTAAAATATAGTATGAAATTGGTTTCCATGTCAGCTGTATCACTGTAAATTCATCCATTTGTTCACATATTAGTCAAGTCTGGGTTCCAACTTTAAGTTTAAAATCAATTAAAATATGCAAACTCCAACTACATGTGTATAAGGGTAAACATTATCAAGCAAAGGGTGACAACTGATGTAAGGCTGTTAGACACCAAATGCACAGTGAAAAAAATGGCATCAACATGAAAGGATGCTGAGCTGTTGCTGATGTTTCTAAGCAGTAATAGAAGGAGAAGTTCATCCAGTTCTCATGAGGAAATTCACAAAGTTGGTGCTACATAAAGAATAGGTCCAAAAAATATTTTTAACACTCAAAATATTCCCACAGATTTTAGGCATCTGGTGTGTAAAGGCCTTTATTGTTTATGATGATTATAAATATAGAAAACACCACTTGTTATTATTCTGGAGATATACATAAAATCCTGACACAATTTAATTTAATAAAGAACGTTTTCTAAAACTTTTTGTCTTTTCCTCACCACATCAGAATGTGATAATCTGGAGTTTACATTTTAGGGTGGATGCATGGAGCAAACCTTTGAAAACTGAAATCTTAGTAGATGATTAGAACTCCTGGAGGTTGTGCTGGACCTCAAAATAATGCAGTGAATTTCAACACACACTTTAATTTGAGATGCAATGGTTACAATTTACAATTCAATGACTTTAAAAAAATATATATTGTGAATTATTTAAGGTACATACCGTTATTACACATAAAAACATTTGATTATTTTAATATTTTTCTGTGCTTTAGCTGATTTTTTTTAACCTGTTTTTCTATCATGATCTTGACTGCTGTGGATACTAATGGACACCCTGTCATGGGTCGCACCGCTAATACACACCATGCCCAGTGTGCTTGACCTGAAAGCCCGGTTCAGTAGTCTAGTGTGCTAATTGCTGTGTTTGGGCACAGTTAAGTGATTAGTGCCCTGACCTGTTTAAAGATGTGGGTCTGGGTGTGGTTCAATTGGACTTGGAAATGATACATAGTGTCATCATCAATTGCTTTGCTTAAGTAAATAAATCTGTAAGGCCTATGACAGGACAGTGTTTCACAACTGTTGTCTCAGAATTAAGCAACAAAAAATAGAAAATGATTAACCCAACTCAATCATTAAAGTCATGTGTTTGTCAAACTCCAACTGGAGCTGCCAGATTTTTAACTGGTTCAGAGAACAGCTGACACATCAGATCATTGCTGCTCTGGCTCAGTTACATGCATTAAAATACAGCAGATATGAGTAAGGAAAGTAGGACAGAAACAAAGAGATGTTAAAGTGATGAGACATCGTGATGCAAATTCAATTGTGTAGCTAAAGGCAACTGAAAAGTAAGCAGCAGGATTTCCTATGGATTGCTAAGGCCATAGACATATAAGTTTATATAACTGTAAATAACTCAGCCATACCAAAACCAGTGTCTGTGTTATTTTTGTAATTGTGATGAGAGCTAAAAAAAAATGTGAATTTAACTCACTAGCTTTTAATTGTGACTGAGTTATTGTTTTGTTCTTTGTATGTGTTTGTTCCACTTTTTACTTTTTTACTATGTGCAGCACTTTGGTCAACCTGAGTTGTTTTTAAATGTGCTTATTAACAAATTGATTGATTGATTAAAAAAAAAAACCCTCTGAAAACTTCCAAAAATGTCATCTTGAGGCAACTGTTGTGATTTGGCACCACATAAATAAAACTGAATTGAACTGAATTAAACTAAAGTGTGGTTCTTTTCCCCAGGAGTCGTAGTGCAGCTCTTTTAATGAAAAACTTGTGGCTGATGTCATTTCCCTGCTTTGGAAATTAACAGAATTCAAAATATTCACTCTTTGTTTTTTGTTTTTTAATATGTTTACTTTTTCTTCTTAATATAATGTAAACTGCCAGAAACACTGAAACAGGAAAATATGAGGAAGAAAGTTACAAAACTGCAGGCGACACACAGGCCTCATTCAAGAGAAATAATAATGAAATATTACTGTTAAATGAGTTTTGTGTCTCTGCTTCTGTCTGCTTTTACATTTGAGCTTTTATTGATAGCTGGATGGAAGCCAGACTTTGGTAGGAGATTTAGACTTTTTGGGTATAAAAACCTGTTATGTACAGAGCACGTTAGCATTTTTCTTTCCCACTATAAAAAAATCAATTAACATGATGCTATGACTTGATAATGATAACCTCAGATAATGTCATGTTATCTAATACGGCACTATTATATTAGATAACATATTATCTGACTGCAGTTTTACCTCATGAGACTGCAAATTGCTAACTGTATTTCTTTTTATGAAAGCTTATGGGAAAAGAAGCCTTTTTCCCACTTATCTTTATTACAACGAAAAAGAAAGGAAAACACTGACCAGTACACGAGGATAACAACAGATTGTCATAACTTTTTATATTCAAAAGTCAAAGTCTCTTTGGTGTCCATTCAAATGGACATAAAGGTTCACAGGAAATATAAACAGAAGTCCTTCAGAACAGTTTTCACAAAGACTACTTTATACTGAGAACTATTTTTTAAGAACACAAAATCAAAAACAGTGCCATGATGCAAATAACAGTAAGAGTCTAACAGCAGGTTTATGTGATGAAATTTCAAAGTCTCTACAGTTTCTGTCCAGCTGCAAATAAAGTCACATCTTAATTAAATGTAAAGAGTTTTCCTAACAAAACAAAATTATAACAAGTAATGGTAACAGTTTGGGCTTTATAGTTACTGGTGTTTCTTTATTGATAGCACATAATTGGGCCTTTACATACAGTAACAGGGTGTAACACAAACCGAACTTACTGTACAGAAGTACGGCGGAAGTAGTCTCTAAAAACTCTGTACGGTAAGTTCGGTTTGCGTTTCCCAGCAGGTTTATCTCCACCTGGAAGCAAACCAAAGCACACTAATAAAATACTGATCTGTTGCTTTTATCCACGTGTTTCATTGTGATTTTTATACTTCTGATGTACTTTGGTTTTAAAACTGAAAAAATATTTTTATACTTTTACACCCTGTTACTGCATGTAAAGGCCCAATTATGTGCTATCAGCCCAAACTGTTACCATTACTTGTTATAATTTTGCTTTGTTAGGAAAACTCTTTACATTTAATTAAGATGTTACTTTATTTGCAGCTGGACAGAAACGGTAGAGACTTTGAAATTCCATCATATAAACTTGCTGTTAGTGTGATTTGATGCTAATAAATAAAAGAGCAGTATTTCATTAGCCCAACACACAGGGTGATCCGCGTCAACTCACTAACGGAGTTTTGCTGCATTAATGCCGTTGCGGCGTTACTGTCATTTTAACGAGATTAACGCTGACAGCACTAAAAACATTTGATCTAACAGCTTAACCTCTTTTTAAATGCTTAAAAAGAAACATGGGGAAGTCCAACTACAAATCTGAAGTCAAGTAATAATAATAAATAAATAAGTTTGGATTAATTTGTTACTGATTTCATAAACTTTGATTCTTACTTTCATACTTTGAAGTGTAGTTTAACTTGTAGAAGTAATTGTACTCAAATTTCAAACTCAGAATAAATTCAAATGGATCCTTTTTGTAAGCCAAATAATGAGATATTTTCAAATGGTGTAAGTTTTTTTTCCCATTACATGTTGACTAAACATTCAAACAACCCACTGTCAAATAAATCAAATCAATTTACGCTGCAGCTGATACCTGTTAACAGCTGAAACAACGGTGACACTTAGTGGAAAATAACCAACACTGCGAGTTACAGTGAAGACACATAATGCTCTGACAGGAACACTGAATTATTACAGCTGTGCTCATGTGTTAAATACTAACATATGTGCATACTTTGGTGTATGTACGCAGATTTATAAACACTACTTGATAAATAGCACTGCTAAAGTCAATGTGTTTTTGTGTTACTTCTTTGTGATAAAGAAAAATGAAAAAGTTAATTTTTTGTGCATTATTAGGTAGGTAGTGCCAAGAGCCATGGTTTCACCATCATTACCAACAATTTTCTTATCCATTTATAATAACACAATTTTAATACGCACTTATTTACTGGAGGCATGTATGCATATCTCCTTGCTTTTAAAGTATATGAAAATATATAACCATTTAATTTATGAATATTATATATGGTTGATAGATGTGACTTGCAAATTTTAAAGTTCAGGTGAACCATTTCTGCTTGAAATAATGCATTCACTTCATGAATTCATGTGATTAAGTATTTTCCAAGGAATAGGTTGGGGCAGTACAAGGTGGCTCTATAGTATAGCGATTTACACATCAGATCAGTTGTACCTGTGATATGTCCTGGCAATCTGTCATGGCCCAACAATAATTATACACACTCCAGAAGATATCCCATCCTGTCCACAGTTACTGGTCTTATGAATGCAGCTTCTTGTGTCCAATTGTCCAGTCCCATAGTACGCGCTGACCATTAAGCATGTACAGTGAAGTATGTATATGTATTTAGCTGTGTCACAGCATTTCCTAATTGTACAGCAGTATTCGTTTTTGCCATTAGATGGCAGTAGAGGCCTTGGTATGTCATTTTATCCACAATAAATTTACATCCAGCGCATGGATCCAGAAAAATCCATGTTCCTCTCAGAGATGGTGGCTGTTGGATGTTCCAAGTGATTGATGTTATTAGATTGAAAAGCTGCTCACTAAGAAATGTATCGAGTTTCTTATTATGTCCCTAATTAATTACATAATGAGTTCCTTAATAAGTGTAATATCTGTAAAAGAATTTTTAGGCTGGATAGGACAGCATATAATACCCAGTGGGGCATGATCTGCTTGGTTAAGAATGGGTGGTGTCTGTTTTGGTCAGACTTTTGAAATGTTTGGTCGCCTATAAAATCTGCCAACATGTATCCTCCTCTGTGGCATTGTGAAGAACACAACAAGCTTATGTTGGATCAGAATATATTAACTCATTGGTGGCAGGCCCTAATTCTCATTGAGGTCTTCCCTGATCTGGCCTAGCTTGTTGTTTCTCTGTTTCATCCGTTATCTTCATTGTCAGTACAGTTTCATGTATTTATTTCCATTTGGAGTTTTCATGCTTGTTTCCTCATCATTAACTGGGGACCCCTGCCTAATGTTGTCAATTCACTGTTAGCAGGCACCACCATCAGGGCACCATGAACAACACTTCATATCGATTTGCTTTTTCATCTGTAAAATCAAATTGATGTAAACTACACAACCAACTTTTTGTTGGCAAATTTGGAGCAAAAACAAATGTAATTTGTGCAGACTTACCAATTTGCAGGTGCTAATAAATTAGCATAGCATGTTAATAGCATTAACATCAACTGGCTGTGTTACCTGGGAAGCTAATTAGCCACGCATTTAATGTCAGCTCCATGCCCTCCTGGGTTTTAATTGCACCTTAGATCACATATGCATCAACACTACAATG